ATTGATATATATTATAAAAGTTATCTTTGGTTAGAATCTTACAATTAAATTTCATAAAATTATTATTCTAATTGAATAATATGAAAAAAGTATATATCATAGATTTTTCCTGATACTAAAACGAAAAATATTAGGAAATTGAGTCATCAAATAGTTTGAGTAATGTATAATCTATAACGCAACTGGTAGTAGAAAACTGTTCCATAATAGTAGAATAATTTTAAAATTATAGAACATCAAATACGCTCATGCCTATGTTTCAACTTTGACCGCATTATGATTTCGTTACTGAAAAAATACAACAAGGACTAAGACATTTGATCAACGGATACATTATGGAATTTCCAATCAAATGTTAGAGATATTAAATATAAAATTAATCTTTGGTTAGAATCTTACATTTTAATTTCATAAAATGTTTCGTTCTAACTGTATATTAAAAAAATGTCATATATTTCGTCAGATAGTTTAACTAAAAATATTTAAACACACAGTCAATGAACAATTAAGTCATCTACAATCTACATTGCAGTAAGTAATATCAACAATTTTCAATAAAAATTTAAAAATCCGAATATTTGAGAACATGAAGTGCGTATCTGCCAATTTTTCAATTTTGAGCATACGAAATTTCGTTAATTTCGACAGATAGTAAATACTATACTTCGATTAAAACATGATGTCCCTTGACATATCATCAGCTGTGACGCTGACAGATTCACAGCTGACGAAATGTGAACCTACTTAATGATTTAATTGAAGTATAAGCCATTTGATCAAAAATCAAGGGACACATTATGGTATGCCAGTACGGAGGGAGAAGACAAAGAGAAGTATTCTTGCGAAGCGACAGTGGCGCGGCCATCGCGGCGGCGGCCAAAAACGGAACTACGCGGGACGCGTGCCTATAATGTCTATTCTCAGCATTTTTCTTGATTTTTTTGGAAAAAAATCACGAAAGTTATAAAAAGAAATGCTATGTTAACATTTCATTAATTGTAATCTCCATGTTGTTATGAAAATCAACGATGTAACATGACACATCCCAGTGGCTCATTAGAAGTAGGTTTTAACATGCGCGTTGTAAATATATTATTTAACTGTAGCTATTGCACTTACTGTAGAATAGAATATTATTGATTCGCACAAAAATCTTTTAGGTCCCCGAGCCACTTTTGTTGAAACAAAATCAAGTTATTGGCCAACCAGAATAATGCGTTCCCGCGTGGTTTTTCACTTTCTCGAGAACCTCACTCAGAGATTCGATCACATTTCCATAACGCGTACCTTTCCATTCTCCTATTTTCTGTGTACTATTCCTACACACTAATATTATACCTCCGTACAGAATATACCAACAAATACTTTTGGCTTTAAATCATTTTGTTTCACATAAACCGATTCGCCCAAAACTGATCCTTCAAAATTTGCGTATTTTTGTAACTACGACTTTCACTTCCTAAAAAATACCAAATATAACTAACGGGAATATTATACAAGAAGTGTTCTCTTCCGACATTTTAATTATTAACTGTACAGTATCACTACAACTATAAGCTGACATTTCTGTCCCATTTATTGGCCCGGATTCTCCTGCCAGAATCCTATACGACAAGAATCGATGATTTGGATCCAATTAAATCGTTCTCAAAAAACAAAATTAGGGTTCCCTTCTACGATAACCAGTTCCGTTGATTCGACTTTTTCAGAACTACAGCATTGATTTGTGTGATCCGAATCTTTCGAACCATTACACTGAAAAATCGATTGACGAGAAAGTTATTCCAATGAAAATGTTCATAAAACACGAAAAAAACGGATTTGATTCCCTCAGAATCGATTCAATTGATTCGTTCATTTTAGAACCGTGCCATTGATTCGTTCATCTGGGAATCGATTCTTTTGAGCCATATCACTGAAAAACGGGTTTCGTTGCCCGCAACCAACCTGTGCTTCTCCCAACCATCGACTTCGCTACTACTACTGCTGCTGGTGCCGCCGCCGCGAACGGATCGCGCGCGCCAGCGAACGAATCCCGGAGGAGGACCGCCCGCGCGACGCCGCTCGCGAGGGGAACGGGCACGCGTGCCGTTGCTGGGCTTCGGCAGCCAATCAGCGCTGCGTCTGGGCCACGGATGAGCAAGCTAGACCGCCACTGCGAGTACGGTGCTGCCAAGAACAACTACTCTCCCGCGAACGATGTGTCTCGCCCTCTCTCGACGAATCCGATTCCACACTTAAGTCACACACGCCTAACTTAACACTGCCGCCAAAGTCAGTACGGTGCCGCCAAGAACGACTCTTTTGGAGAGTTCGTTCCTTGCCTAAACGCGAGCTAAGTTTATACAACACCGTTTTTTCGAGTAGGTTGCCGCTAAGGACAACTAGCCGTGAACGACTCTTTCGAGGATGATCCTACCAATGCGCGAGCTAAATTTATACCGTCGTCTCTGCAAGTCGGTTGTCATTCTTTCATTACGGCGTGCAGAACGTGTCGTTTTTTGAGAGGGCTCGAACTTCAATGTTAATTAAGACGCATCGTAAACGTTTCTATCTAATTTGTTGTATCATCATACCGTCGATTCCGGTTATTTTCACATCGAGCAGATGAATCGAAATAATTGCATTCCCTTGGTTTACGTATTCAATAGAACTTTTCATTTTTGCACAACATTACTATTCTGAATTTTACCAATTATTGAAGTCGGAGTGTATCCACAAACTTGTCTAGAAATAATGAACGCATTCAAAATAATTAAAAACAAGCATTTACGAGTCATTAATAAAAGTTCGTTGGAAACAAATTTTCTCAATTTAATATTTTGAGCCCATAGCATGCAGTTTTTGACCATTTGTAAAACAAAGCACCTCTGGAATCGACTGTGATGGTTTAATTTTCTTTAGGTCCGTAGCCACGAGCATAAAATTGTTAACGTCATTTCTAAATGGAAAGTTACTCTTAAATAGAAGCACAGAATATTCAGTAAAGGAATATAACATCAGGATTATGAAACGCAATATTACGATTCTGAGAGGTACGTTTAATACAGCCCTCTAATGATAGTTTCTCCTTTTACCAACCTAGAATTTATTTTAAACTGGAGTTTTTTTTCCTTGCACTTTCCTGACCAGTTAGTAGGTCTTTCGTTATCACCTTGCGTATGTATCACATAAGGTTTTATCCACGAAAAGGAATCCTTAATATAGAAATCTATACAAAAACTTTCCTTAAACAATACAAACGGCAGGCTCTTAAAACAACCAAAAAGAATCCTATGATTTTACTCCGCTGTAGACCCCTTTCACAAATGCCTTCATTCTGTTTCGAAAAAAATCATTTCTAACAACACTACATAATAATCCTGGTATAGCCTAAACCTTCTCTCCCTCAGGTATTCCAACGTTAACCCATCCTTCGGCATGATTTGTGAAGTAATTACAAGTTATGTCACTTATAGTACGTCCGTATCATTGCTTTTGAGTGATAATCTTCTTCACTGAACTACTTGTATTTAAATGAATTAATTTATAATTATTTTATCAAGGCATAGTGTCTTCGAAGTATTATCATTTCTATCTCATTAATTAATCTCTTTGAGAGTATGATTCAGGTTTGATATCTGTTTCATACTGATAGCTATGAATAGCACAAATCTTCAATGTTGTTGAAGAAATAAAGCGAAAACCGAAATTAAAACATGAACAATAATCAATATCCAAATTTGTACTATTTTCTAGAGTTTCTTTCAACCTGACAATTGATCCACTTAAGCGGTAAGACACCGCTTGTGACACGTAGTGCTATGATGGTTTTTTACAGTCTATGAGAATAAAAATAGCAATATCAATAATTATTACGAAAATACATCACCTTCTATGAGAGATAAAAGAATTCCTTTCATGAAAACACGTTGCTTTGAAAAACAAAACCTGTTTGGGAAAACAAATCATGTCCGTTTTCTTTAATCCACTCTCTCACTTTCTTTATTCCGAAATCCCAATATTATTTCCTCTTCTGTGCAGTGAGAGCTTTTCGAAACAGACTTCAAATTCCTTACGTGATGAATACCTCACTTACCCTCCATATGCACGCACGACTATTGCATTCTACTCGATTATAAAAAACGAAAACGAGTACCAGATCCGTTCATAAAAACCAGTCCAAACGACTCCTTCATGTGGACGAAACACGAATACCCGTTCATACGAAACAGCGTGTGAGACCAGTTTGCTTGAACGAATCATGTGAACTCGCTCTTCAGGTCGTCATTCCCTTTTCCGTTCCTCTCAGTTAGGATCCATATTTTTTTTGCGTGACCCGTTCCACGTTTAGTTTCCACGTCCCGTTGCGATGCACGTACATACCTTATACACACACGTACAAAAGAAAACTACTAAAGCTGCCAGTGAAAATGAATCCGACAGATACGTTCAATTGAACGAGACGCTGAGACAAGTTCATTTGAACGCTTTCCTGAGACCAGTTCATATGAACAAACTTCGTACATGAATGAGCTTGCAAGACCCGTTCACGTGAACAAGTTATATGATGCATTGATGTGAACGCAAGAAACGTTCACCTTAATGGTTCATTAAACCCGTGCTTAC